ACAGCACCTAACAACAGCAACAAGCAGAATTAAGTTTGATGGATGATTACTAGGTAACATTGAGGAAATTTTCTAGAACAATGAACAAAAGAGAGTACTACAGTTAATAGAGAAGAGATAAGAAGCCTAAAGATTGATCCAGGAGACTCAGCGTATGACTAAGAGTAGTTCCATGGAGTGGAGAAAATGGAAGGGAGGAAATAAACAACAAAATGTCTCAGTCCTAAAGGACACGAATTTCCAGATTGGAAGAGCCCAGCAAGTGACCAGCACCGTCAATGAAAACGACCCACATTGAGCCACATCATCATGAAATTTAATATTAGGATTAAAGAGAAGAAAAAACTTCAGATAGAAAAAAAAAAAAAAGGCAAAACAAAAAAACACAGTTCACATCAGAAGTTTTGTGAATCAGAATGACATCCTATCATATTTCTCAACCCCAACTGAAAATTCCTGTCCCAGCCATTATTGTTCAAACGTGAGGGTAGACAAAAGATATTTTAGCTCACCCTACTGATGCTGGCTCAGACTCCAAACTCATGCAGCCTCTGAAAGCCAGGCGCCTCCACTAACTTGCCATAAAATGTGTCCCACAGGGCCACTGCTTCCTCACACTGCTCACAGCCGAGGTCACAGGGCTACACTCCGGGCAGGAGAGGTTGGGGAATAAGTTTTCTTGGGGAGGTAGGCCTCAGACAGTGAAAAATTAGCAGAAACATCAGAAGGATGTTTTACAGTTCTGGGCAGCCAGAAAACATGGCAAAAGGCCACTGCATGTAGGACCCCAAAAAGAGGGGTCCATTGCAGGGAAGGGTTGAGGGGAGTGCCCAGGATGCTGGGGAAGGAGATTCCAGGACAATAAATGTGCCCTAGTTCTGCAGGACAACTGCTTCTGACTGGAGCAGGATCAAGGGCACTAGGAAGAATCGCTTTAAAAAATTTAAAAAAGAAAAGAAGCAGATTAACTGATGTGTTTGTAGAGAAAAGAGTTACACTTCTGGAAGAGAGGGATGAATTAGTGATATATACTTAGAAAAAAAGTAGACAAAAAAAGGCAGTAATGAACTTCAGAGAAAACAAAAAGTTTTGTATAAAAAAATTAATCATAACACATACATGGCTAGCTGTGAATAAATTTCTGTTGTCATAGTCATATAAACACTGATTATTGATTTACCCCCAAATTGTGATATAAATATAGTGAGGGGGATTGGAGATAAGTGCGAGTATTTGGGAGGGGGTTACAGTGTATTAAGAAAGCTAAATCCTTGTCTTCTGTATTAAATAATTAATAGATAATATATAATACTGAAAAATGAAATGACAATAAGCTTGTTAGTTAGAAATTCACTAATCTGATACATTAGTTTTAAATTTATATACACCTAACAAAATAGCCTCAAAATATATAAAGCACAAATTGGCAGAGGTACCGGAGAAATAGAAAAATTAACCCTCGTAATGGGAGATTTTAAGGCGTTTATTTTAACATTCATAAATTAAGCAAACAAAAAGATCATAACGCTATAGAAGATTTGAAGAACACAATTAACATACTTGATTTAATAGGCCAATAAAAAATGTTGCATCCAGCAAATAGAGAGTATATATACTTCTCTTTGATATGTGGTCTACCCCCCTCCTATTTTGCAGTTCTAAATATTTTTAATTTACATTATTTTTTCTGTTTTGAATTTGCTGTTGTTGGTTACCGTCAAGTTGATTCTGACCTATGGCGACTCCATGTGTGCAGAGTTGAACTGCTCCGTAGGGTTTTCAAGGATGTGACCTTTCGGAAGCAGATCACCAGGCCTATATTGAATTTAGAGTTATTTAAAACAGTGTTTCCTAATTTCCATATAGAGGGGTTTTATTCCTAGTCATCTTTTGTTTTGTATTTCTAACATGTAATCTAAAATCCCTTACCATTGCCTTTCAGACTTTCCTCTTGGCCAGGCCTGTTAGTGGAAAACTCTTCTATGTGTGTCTAAAAATGTCTTAATTTAGTGTTTTTTATTGAAAAATATTTTTACTGGGTATTGAAATTTTGGTTTACTCTTCTTTCTGCATATTGAAGATAATATTACACTGCTTTATAATTTCCATTATTGTCATCAAGAAGTCTGTTCTCATTTCAATTGTTCCTTTGTAGATGTATTAATTTCCTAGGACTGACATAATAAAGTACCACAAACTAGGTACTTATTCTCTTACAATTTATTCTCTTACAATTCTAGAGGCTAGAAGCTCAAATTCAGGATATCAGCAAGGCCTTGTGCTCTCCAAAAGCTCTAGGGGAAGATACTTTCTTGTCTCTCTCAGCTTCTGGAATCCACAGGCACTCCTTGGCTTGTAAATGCATCTTTACGTGGGCGTCCTTGCTCTCTCTGCATCTCTGTGTCTCTTCTCTGTTTCTAAGGGCACCATTCAGCAGACCCACCCTACTCTGGTATGAACTCATAGTAACTGATAACATCTTCAAGACCTTATTTCCAAACAAAGCCACATTCACAGGTACCAGGGGTTAGGATCTGTATATCGCCTTTGGATGCATTTGAAATCTTTGTCATTGAAGCTCTGTAGTTTATTACAGGGTCATCATTTGCGCCTTTATTTTTATTTATTCTCCTTGGGACTTACGAATCCTGGATCTGAGGAATAATGTCTTTCATCCATTCTGGATCATTTTCTGCCATTATCTTGCCCATTGCTTTTTCTTCATTCTCTGTTCTCTCCTTTTGAAGGTCCTATTGTACATGTTTTAGACCTTCTCATATTGCACTCCATGTCTCTTTACCTCCCACTTGTGTTTTTCTAGCTCCTTGTCTCTATGCTACATTCTGGATAGTCTTTTCAGCTCTCTCTTTTAGTTTGTTAATTCCCTCTTCAGTTGTGTCTAATCTGCTGTTTAATCTATGTATTGTGTTTTTCAGTTCAGTGTCAATATTTTTCATTTTATAGAAGTTTTACTTGGTTATTTTCCATATCTGCCTGCTATTTTTCATTATGTCTTAGTCTTTCCTTATGGTTTTTAATAATTCTTTACTCATTTAAACATTTTTCCCATATATTACTTCCAAACATATTTTATTCCCAGCTTGCTCCATTATCTTGAAATACCAATCTTCCTGTTTTGTGTGTCTGCTGACACCGTGATGGTGAATTGTTTTCTTGTTCGGTTCTGTGTTTGTTGGTTTGCTTTTATTATTGTTGGTTTTTTTTTTTTTTTGGTGAAATCTTTAGCAGGGATTCTTCTCCATCATGGTTCTTTTATGTACCCTGGATTATGGAAGTATTGGTATAGAGTGCTTTTATTTCACTTCTGCCAGGCGCCCCAGGGATTTAATAGGTCTAAGACCAACTTTCATTAGGTTTTTTTTTTTGTCTTGGGTAGTATAAATTTGTGTTCTACACCCACGTGTGGCTCTGGCTTGGTGTTTCACTTTCTTGTGGGACTCATTTGATTCCTGCATCCCTCCCTTTGTGATGGCTGAGCAGAGATCAGCTTTCTTATTGCTTTCCTGGGCCAATGGACCCTAGAGGAGTCTTTCCAGAGGTCTGGCTTTATATGAGCAGCTCAGCTTATAGACCCCCGTGCAGAGCCAAGGCCATGTCTCCCAGACCTGTGTGTGTATGAGAACCCCAGACCCCAATCCCTGAGTGCCTCGATATCAACCCATGTTTTTACTCTTTGGTTTTAATTTTCTTCTGAATGTCTGACATGAAAGGATCTTGTTTTCTTTTTTTTTTTTCCCCAAGGTGCTTTTATTTTTTTTTTAATTGTGCTTTAAGTGAAAGTTTACAGTTCAAGTTAGTCTCTCATACAAAAATTTATACATACATTGTTATATGACCCTAACTGCTTTCCCTATACTGTGACAGCACACTCCTCCTTTCCACCCTGGATTTCCTGTGTCCATTCAGCCAGCTCCTGACCCTCTCTGCCTTCTCATCTCACCTCCGGACAGGAGCTGCCCATTTAGTCTCATGTATCTACTTGAGCTAAGAAGCACTGTCTTCACGAGTATCATTTTATTTCCCATAGTTCAGTTGTTTTCTTTCTTTTAAGCTCAGCAGTGTATTTCAAAAGAGGGGGAGGGTTTCCTCCAGTCTTTCTAAGTGTTTTCAGCCAAATGGGGTCGTTGTTAGCATGTTCTGCTATGTGGCTGAACTGCCAGATGCCTCTTATACCATGGGTCACATTGTATTGTAATTGCTTTTGAAGTTTGTTTCCCTTCCTAGACCCAGCTCCTGGAGGGCACGAACTCAGCACGGTGTCTCTCGATATTGAACAAATGAGGAAATGACAACCACTTAATCTTTAAGGCCTGTGTTAAATCAGTTGAGATTTACAGTGGGAAGAATCCGTCCCGGGTGCCAGTTTGCATGCAGGTGCCTTCTGTCATTCAAGTGCTGTAGTCATCTGTCTCGTGGGTCACTTCCTCCCTTTTCTTGCTGGTGCTCTGGTGATCCCAGTTGTCTGAGCTGTAGACGCCTTCGTTTGGAGAGAACGTCCATTCCTGAATTGTGTGCCCCAGCCCTGCCCACCAGTTCCCTGTGTTTCTTCCGATTATCTTTTCTTGGGAGATCTCTGAGGCTTTCTTCAGTTGAAAATAAAGCAAAGCTTTTTTGCTTTTAAGCAGCATTTTTGTTTTTTTGCACATGCATGTGTATGTATACTTTCATTTTTTTACAAAACTCATCGTGGTGAACCTACCCTACTTTTTTCACCTAATTTACTTTTCAAATTAATAGTCATATTTTGGGCAGTGGAAATGCTTTCCTTTTCTAAAGCAGTGGAAATAAAGTTTATTTACCTATGTAAAGAGCACACTATTAGCAAAGAAAATAAAACCCCACACCACCCCCCCAAAAAAAGCAAAAAAACAAAGCCCAAGACCCAGGAGGAGCGGTGAGGGTGGGGGGACATACCGACAGGCTTCCCTTTATTTCCGTTTCTCAACTCTCCCCTGACAGTTGCGTCTCTCTTTGTGCAGAGCACCTGTTGACTCACTTGGAACAAGCCAAAGGAGCTCCCCCCACCAGCCAGAGCGAAGCAACTCCCGGGAAGGAACCAGAGGTCCCCCGTGGGGAGCTGCCCGCCGGTCCCCAGAGTGTCAGCGCCACCAAAGAGCAGAAGAAAAAGCCTCGAAGGGGGAGAAAGCCCAAGACACCAAGAACCGAGCAGCCTCTAGTCATCGTGGAAGACAAGGACCCCGCAGGTGAGGGGGACGGTCCCCGGGAGCTGAGAGCCTGGAGGAATGGCCCGTTCCTGGGCCCCGAGGCCTGAAAGGTTTGGGGGGACCCTGAGGTCATCTCACCTTGAACAATCTGGGAAAACTCCGCATCCAGAGGTCACATGGAAGATCCCTTCCTTCTCCAAATCAGCTCTATTAATGTATAATTCACTGTAGTCAATTGCACACTAACAGTGCACAGGTTGTGGATTCTGGCAAACGTATACACCTGTGTGACCAGCACTCAAGACAGAGATCGTTCTGTCTCACCAAAGCATGCCTGCGTGACCCTTTCTAGCCAGTCTGCCCACCCCCGAAGCCACACCACACCCAGGCAGCCACTTTTTAAATGTATTTTCATCATGAATTAGTTTTGCCTGTTCTAGAATTTTATGTGAATGGAGCTCGTTCTGTGGCCGGCTTCTCGCCCGCAGCATCATGCGTGAGGGATTCACCGTGTCGCCTTCAGAGTTGCTCTTCTCATTTGTGGCTGAGCAGCATTCCACTGTGCTCATGCGGAACCTGTACGTAGACCAAGAGGCAGTCGCTGGAACAGAACAAGAGGATACCGCGTGGTTTAAAATCAGAAAAGGTGTGCAGCAGGGTTGTATTATTTCATCCTACTTATTCAGTCTGTACGCTGAGCAAATACTTCGAGAAGCTGGACTATATGAAGAAGAACGTGGCATCAAGATCGGAGGAAGACTCGTTAACAACCTGTGATATGCAGATGACACAACCTTGCTTGTGGAAAATGATGACTTGAAGCACTTACTGATGAAGATCAGACGCTACAGCCTTCAATACGGATTACATCTGAACGTGAAGAAAACAAAAATCCTCACAAATGGGTCCATAAACAACGTCATGATAAATGGTGAAGAAATTGAAGTTGTCAAGTTTTTTCTTTTACTTGGATCAACAGTCAACACCCACGGAAGCGACCATCAAGAAATCAAACGACGGGTTACATTGGGCAGACCTGTGGCAAAAGACCTCTTTAAAATCTTAAAGAGCAAAGATGTCACTTTGATGACTAAGGTACGCCTGACCCATGCCATGGTATTTTCAGTCTTCTCGTATGCATGTGAAAGCTGGACAATGAAAACTGAAGACCAAAGAAGAATTGAATTGATGCATTTGAATTGTGATGTTGAAGAATACTGAATATAACATGGGCCGCCAGAAGAAGGAACAAATCCATCTTGGAGGAAGTGCAGCCAGAATGTTCCCTAGAAGGGGGGATGGCGAGATTTCACCCTACTTACTTTGGGAGGGGCCAGTTCCTGGAGAAGGACATCATGCTTGGTAAAGTAGAGGGTCAGCAAAGAAGAAGGAGGCATTCAATGAGATGGACTGACACAGTGGCTGCAACAGTGGGCTCAAACGTAGCAACGATTGTGAGGATGGCGCAGGACTGGGCTACGTTTCGTTCTGTTGTACAGAGGGTCACTATGAGTTGGAGCCAACTCAGGGGCATCTAACAACAGCAACAACAGTGTTCCACTGTGTGAATATACAGCCATCATGTGACTGTCCCACTGTGTCTGACTATCCCAGCATTGTGTGAATATCTCAGCATAGTATGACTGTCCCACCATGTGTGAATATCCTACCTGTGGATGGACATTTGGGGTGTTTCCAGGTCTAGGCTAATGTTCTTCCCTTGACTGTACAGTGTCCTCAGTTGAGTGTGAGCCCCTCTCTGGGGGTTCACAGCCATGCAGGACTCTCCTCACTCGGCCTTCCTCATCAGAGCTGCCTGACACACAGCAGGTCCTCGCCAGCCCCACACGCAGGGCCAGACGTGATGTCTGGACACTGGTCCCTTCACAGCTTGGTTATTGACCACCAGGCAGTGTTTCTCTTTGCAGTCTGGTGTCTCTCAGAATTCCTTTGTGAAAATGAGAAGAAATTCTTATTCTCTCTCAGAATTAAAAAAGGAAGTTCAGAAAAGCCTTCTCATCATCTCAGTTGACCCTTTTCTGCCCTGGGTACCCCGCCATCTCCCAGTATGTGCACCGTTTAGGGATTGATAAAGCGGAGTGGTTTAACTTGCCCTGAACAGTGTTACTGCTCTGCAAACAGCTAGCAGAAGGCAGGAAGGCAACAGGAAGCTTATTAAGTGATTACTTCACTGATTATTACTTGTGTTAGGAAGACATTTAATAGGTGAAGTGTCGGAAACCAATGGCTACCGTAATTGTGTTATTTCCCCATACTTAGTTTGTCCCGACTTTCAGGCCTGGGTCCCTATAATGTGGTTAATTGATACTTGACTCTTGCACACAGTAGTTGTCTGCTTTTTGAACATACAAGAGATGCCATATCTAAATATAAAGGTTACTATTTCTACATCTCTCTCGGAACTAATTTACTGAGTTATAAGATTACACTGTGTATCCAGAATGTTTCTGATGGGTATGCGGAGGGACTGAAGTAACGTTACGACTGCTGCCTAAGAAAAAAATCACAAATTATAACTCTGGTTTCGAGTTAAGAATAAAATTTTGCCTTTCCACAGATACCAGTTAATGTGTGGTTTCTAAAATGTTACTAGTTTGTTTTCGTTTGTTTGTTTTTTTCTTTCTTTTGTTTAAATCTTACAGTTTTAGTCTCTAAAACTTTGGCCTGGCTGTGGTTCCCTTGGAGTCCCTGGGTGGCACAAACTGTTACGTGTTTGACTACTAACCGGAAGGTTGGAGGTTCAAGTCCACCCAGAGGCACCTCGGAAAAAAGGTCTGGTGATCTACTTCCAAACAATGAGCCCCTGAAAACCCTGTGGAGCACAGTTCTCTGGTTCTCTGACACACGTTGAGTCGCCGTGACTTGGTTTTTGGTTTCGGTGCTTCCCTTGGGCAAGTCTTGGTTTGGTGTGCTTGTGCCCTGCCCCTATGATAACCCGTCACATTCACCTTTCACAGAGCACGTGGCAGAGATTGTCACCGAGGTCCCCCCGGACGAGCCCGTGAGCGCGGCCCCAGATGAGCGCATCATGGAGCTGGTGCTGGGGAAGCTGGCCACCGCTACCAGTGAAAGTGGCTCCATTCCAAAGTAAGTCCCGCCTTGGCACATGGTCCATCTCGGTCGCCAGGAGGCGCTGCAGGCAGCTGACCTGTTGGGGAGGGAAGTTGCCACCTGAGGACAAAGCCTGGTGAGGGGAATGGCTGTGTTTCCTGTGTTCTGAACTCTCAGGCCCGGGAAGCAGCAGTGACATCTGGAACTGAGGAGTTCATAGTGTGTCCACCGTGAAAACAGTGTCCTATTTGAACTTCAGTAACTTAGCACCTCACTCTGGGTTTTTGTTTTTTCTTTTTATGAACAAGGGAAATATTTCTTTCTCTTTTAGTTATTATGCTTGGTTAAATTTTTGCCCTCAAGTACAACTTGAGCTCGGCTACAAATCGAAAGGTTGGAGGTTTGAGTCCACCCAGAGGCACCTCAGAAGAAGGGCCTGGTAATCTACTTCCAAAACATCAGCCATTGAAAACTGTATGGAGCACAGTTCTACTGTGACACACACGGGGTCGCCATGAGTCGGGGCTGATGTGACAGTAGCTGACAACAACGTAATTGGTGAACTGGTTGAAATACCAAAAACCAAGACCAAGTTCACGTCACAAGGACTGTTGCCTATTTATACTGTTTTACTGCTCAGAGGATTTCAGGTGGCTTATTGTCCAGAGACCCCCCCAAAAACCAAACCCACTGCCATTGAGTTGATTCTGACTCATAGCGACAGTATAGGACAGAGTAGAACTGCCCCATAGAGTTCCCAAGGAGCGCCTGATGGATTTAAACTGCCGACCTTTTGATTAGCAGCCGTAGCTCTTAACCACGATGCCACCAGGGTTTCCGATATTGTCAAAAGCACATTTCATATGGAGAAGAAATTAAAAAAAAAATCCGGTCAGGGAAAATATAAAATAGAGTAGAATGTCAAAACCAAGTGAGAAAAACAGAACACAAACATCCTCTAGTTGAGGCACAGATTGAGCTGCAGGCTTCGGGGTGGCTGGAGCTAAAACCCGCAAGAGGTGTGGCGGTTAAACAGAATAAATTCATCCAAGGCCAGTGTGCATTCACGCGTCTCTCCTGCTGGACCCCCTGCCCCTGGTGCGATGCCCGAGCCCCTGCCCGCCTTGCTCGCTTGGCGGCTCAGGCTCCATCGGGAAGTTTGGGAAGGAGGCTGGCTCGAAGACGATGGCAGCCTTGGACTTCTGTGTTCTCCAGCGACCTCGTCCCTCTCCGGACTTTGAGCAGCTCGTGTGTCTCACCCGGCAGGTTCCCGCATCACCCGCATAGCACCATCTCGCTCAAGAGGAGCTTGATCCTCTCGAGCAGGCACGGCATCCGGCGGAAGCTCATCAAGCAGCTGGGTGAGCACAAGCGGGTCTACCAGTGCAACATCTGCAGCAAGATCTTCCAGAACAGCAGCAACCTAAGCCGACACGTGCGCTCGCACGGTGAGTGTCGGCCGTGCCAGGCCGGGGCGGGGTGACGCGGGGGCGGCCGGGCTCCCATCAGGGTACCCCTTCTGCGCAGGTGCCAGGGAGCGGTCTGCGGCTGCGGGAGACAGGGTGGCGGTTCTCTCCCGAGGTCGGTCACACCCAATGCAGAGGGAGCGAGGGCTCTGTAGACTTTGTAAAAAAAACAACCAAACTTCAGTGATTCCAAAGTGGTGAATCCGTTCTTTAGTAAATGCTGGAAGTAGTGAATCAGCTTCCTATTGGTTGATTCCTTAGGTGACAAGCTGTTTAAATGTGAGGAATGTGCAAAGTTGTTCAGCCGCAAGGAGAGTCTAAAGCAACACGTTTCTTACAAGCACAGCAGGAATGAGGTGGGTGGAAATGACCCCGGGGTTCTCTTTCTAGTTACAGACCGTTGAGTGTAAATTATCGTGTTGGGAAGAGAAGAAAGGAGAGAGAGAGTGAGCGCGTACATGAGCGAACTTGGAGAGGGTTGTATGTCTCCTGGGGCGTTTGTGGGCGCAGGGGCTGCACACCAGCCCACCCCGCCTGGTAAGACTGACAAAGGCAGAGGAAGGAGTCCGGGAGAGTGGGAGGCTTACCTGATTATGGGATTCTCTTTAGGGCCTTTGGATGGCAAGAGTGAGAAATCTGCTGTGATCCTAAATAGAGTAGGAAGGTAGTAGAAAAAGAGCTGTAAAATACACGCGCTTCAGAAAATGCTAGCGCAGTACTCCGCGTGAGCACGCTCTCCGTCCTAATCTGGTTGCGGGTGCCCGCCTGCTAACCACGCTTCCTGTTTGAAACCAGGTGGACAGTGAGTACAGATACCGGTGTGGGACTTGCGAGAAAGCCTTCCGCATCGAGAGCGCGTTGGAGTTCCACAACTGCAGGACAGGTAGGGAACACCTGTACACGTCACAATGAACTCGCGCTTCTCTCTCCCTCCACGCAACTTTGATTCCCCGATGTTGTGTTTCGGGTTGCCGTCAAGTCGATTCCGACTCACGGTGACCCCCAGTGTGTCTAAGAGTAGAACTGCTCCGTAGGGTTTTCAGTGGCTGATGTTTTCCAAGCAGATCGCCAGGCTTATCTTCCGAGGTGCTTCTGGGTCACTTTGAACCACCGACCCTTCAGCTAGTAGTCTTATGCTTAACCGTTTGTACCACCCAGATACTCAGGTTCTTGGACAACCTGATAGAAACCGCTGAGTTTTTAAAAGGAAGTTGAGATCATTTTAATGAAGAACCTTCACCTCTAACATTTCCCTCTGTTCATTTTGCTTCGAAGCAGTTATCGCTTCTGCTAAAGATACACAGACGGAAACTCCCCGTGTCAAAAGGAATTGATTTTCTTACTTCCTATTGGTCTTCAGTCAAAATGCTATGTGGCCTCACATTTGAGGCCTTTGCTGAGTAGGGCTTCCATCCTTGCTCAGAATAGTGAGCAGCGCGTGTGGTTGGTTATAGAACCCTGTGAGAGGTACGTAAAACGATCAGGATAATAGCTCTAGATGGAGTTCCTCGGTGGTACAGGGGGTTCACGTGCTTGGCTGGTTGCTGACTGAAAGGTTGGAGGTTCGGGTCCATTTAGGCACCTTGGAAGAAAGACCTGGTGATCTATTTCTGAAAAATCAGCCACCGAAAACCCTATGAGCACAATTCTACTCTTACACACGAGTGGTCGCCCTGAGTTGGTGTCACTGTGACGGCAGCTGGTTTAATGGCTTTTGAAGGGAGACTTCTGTCTCATTCTTTGGAATGATGTCCTTACCTATTAGCTGGCCTTTATGAACTTTTCTTGCCAGCATCCAGGATAGGACGTTGTTGATACCGTGCAAAAATCATTTTTCTTCTGAGCCTGCTCTGTCCGCCAGTCTCTGAAAGTAAAATGAAAACTCATTCCTGTCCCGACTGTGTGTGAGGTCGGAAGCTGCCTTGCTCTGACCGGCTTGCAGAGAGACGGGGGCGTCTTGGGTCTGGCGGAGTTTACAGCTGGCTATGGTGTGGCAGGTGGGCGTTCAGACAGGAATCCAGTGACGCACACCCCTCTCCCTGCCTCTCTGCAGACCCTCGTGGGCGCGCCGTGGTGGAGCCACACGCCTCCCAGGTCCCCACGGTGGTCATGTCAGGAGGTGGAGCACTGGGTGGTGAGGGCCGGGCTGCTTTTGTGTCATGCCCGTGTGGAGGAATCATAGCAAACCCGGGAGTGGGGACCGGTGGCGGTCGGCTTAGAGACCTACCGGGTTAACCCTTTATACCAAACCCGTTCTCGCTGATCACTTTATGCGCGTCTGTGTTGGTGCTGGTGGGCCGTCCCTGCGTCCCTCTGAGACCGTGACCAGCATTAGCCAGGTGGGAGCAGCACAGCCCCAGCCCACCTGCTTCTGCAGTGTCTGCCTGGTGTCTTGGTTTTGTTTGTTTCCGTATTGAGGGTTCCTGTTTGAAACCTGGCTTATTTCTCTGCCCACAGGCCTTTCTCCCCACGGCGGGTCTTTTGTGAGCCTTGGTTTGACCTGAGCTTTAGCTTCTCTGGAGGGAAGTGTCTGTGGCATGCAGTAGCCTCCAGAAACCTCCGGATGATTTTGCACCGTGCCACCCTACCTGTCTTCTAAGCCCTCCCCTCCCTAGGCTTCCCAAGAAATTTGGGAGAACGCACCCAGCTGTTCCCATCTGGTGTGGTATCCATCAGACGTATAGACCTTCGTTTTGTTTGTTAACTGCGGTCAGGGATGGCGCCTCTCCCACCGCGGCAGTGCACATTCTGAGTGAATGCAGTGATGGTGGGCATCGGGACTGCAGAGAGGGCATGTCCCATCCCAGCGTCTTCTGCCATGGGGAGAAAGGCCTCTGGGCAGGCATCTCAGATAGAGGAGGAGGACGCCGTCCCCTTTTGATTTTGAAGGCTTTCTCTGCACACGAGGGAGAGAATACAAGAAAAGAAGTCAAAGCAGCGATTCCTACGTGTCAAGTGAAAGGTCTCTTTATCTTTGTTCATTAACCTGTAGCCGTTGAGTCGATTCTGACTCCTAACAACCCTATAGGACAGAGTAGAGCTGCCCCGTAGGGTTTCCAGGGCTGTAATCTTCACGAAAGCAGGCTGCCACATCTTTCTCCCATGTTGCCGCTGGTGGGTTAGAACCGCGGACCTTTCGCTTAGCAGCCGAGTTCTTCAACCACTGTGCCACCAGGGCGCCATCTTTGTTCATGATGTAGAAGTAACCGAGCAACAGTGCATTGAAATGCAGTTTCCTTACCTTGAAATGCTCTCATTTCAAAAGTTACAGGTTTTAGACTGAAAATTAAAGGCTAAAACCTTGCAACTGAACTTATTTGCCTACTACATTGTTTGCATGGTATCTTTCAATACTTTTTTATAGTATTGAAGTTAAGAGACTGTGCGCCTCCCATAGCCCATTATACCGAGAATGTATACAACGCAAGGAAAAGGGCTCTCAAGCGTGGAGGCTGGTGGTGTTTTCTCAAGCTTCCACTCAATGGGACGTGTCTTCGTAGTTATCCCCTGCAGTGTGACTGGTTATTGATGTGACTCATCTGAATGTGCGCTCTGCTGCCTGTGACCTTCAAGACTCTGATAGAGAATAGCAAGGGCTGAAGTTCAGGAGCTCAGGCAGCCTGGTTCCCTCAAAACCCACTCCCCCGTCTCCGGGGACCCTGCACGCCTTGCCCTTCCTCAGGCCCAGGTACAGGTACCTGACATGAGTTGTTACATTTTATTAAAGTGAAAATACAGACCCCCCGGCAGCAGGGCTGTTGACGGAGAAGGGCTGTCCATGGGTGCCATCTTGGATTCCTGATCCACCGGCGTGTGACGCCTGCGGCAGGAAATCCACCCCGTGACATGGCCAGTAGCTCCAGGATGGCTCTGCCCTGTGCCTTCTGCTCTCACTGGGCAGAGGCCCAGCATCCAGCTCTGGGGAGTGTTTTGAAGTGAGTCCTCTTTCTTTACACTGGGAGGGACTTGTGAGAGAGGAAACCGTATGGGAAGCCCAGCACTGTTGCCTTCCATAGCTGTCCGCCCCCCCTGGGCTGGTGGAACCACCTGCAGGGAGGGCGGGCTCACCCGTGCTCTTAGGCACCTGCAGGGAGGGTGGGCTCACCTGTGCTGTCCTGCACCTGCAGGGAGGGCGGGCTCACCTGTGCCGTCTGGCACCTGCAGGGAGGGCGGGCTCACCTGTGCCGTCTGGCACCTGCAGGGAGGG